ACTGTAGTAGAGGTCTTCTATGTCTAATGAAAACATGGAGTGTGGCTTGGTGGTGACGTGTAGACAAGTAAGGTGGGAAATGAGCTCTGTGGAGTTCGTAATCCTGAAGGGCTGGCGGAGATTCAACATAGAGAGATGCTTCTGTAGAAATAAGGCTAAATGTTTTTGCCAGCATCCTCTTTCAGACACAATGCTCCTGAGGGGCATACCTTCCTTGTTTTGCGGGAGATCCAAGTGATTATCACTTCTTTGAATGCGTCTTGTCGCAAGACCAGCCAAGCGGTGTTAGACCCTCCAGTTATACTTTGTGACCAACAACTTTCTCCAGGTACTTTGGAAGTGCTGTCCAAAGGCCCTAAATTTTCTCCAGATCTTCCATTCTCTAGAGCGGACCAATTGACAACGGTACGCGAAGTTGCCTCACGTATTCCGGAACAGGAGCGGTCTGAGTTTTTGTCAGCGGCAGCTTGTTCTATTTGCTACCATCCCCCTCCCAAAACACGCCAGTTCCCTATCCGGAGCGCAGTTGAAGAACTGAGCCAGAAGCGACTCAGGTTGCTTGAATCAGACAATACGGGTGTTTTCGTGGTCTTGGATGAAGGTAACTATGAAGCGAAGGTAGCGAAAGCTTTGGAAAAGAACTTTGACCAACTAAAGACGAGACCATCAGGATCCTTGCGGGCAAGAGCAAAACAGCTTTGCACCTTGATGAATCTGCCCTCTTTCAAGAAAACACTTGGATCTCCCGCAAAACAATATTTTTCTGTCTTTTTTACAGCGAAGACACACAAGGAAGGTATGCCCCTCAGGAGCATTGTGTCTGAAAGAGGATGCTGGCAAAAACATTTAGCCTTATTTCTACAGAAGCATCTCTCTATGTTGAATCTCCGCCAGCCCTTCAGGATTACGAACTCCACAGAGCTCATTTCCCACCTTACTTGTCTACACGTCACCACCAAGCCACACTCCATGTTTTCATTAGACATAGAAGACCTCTACTACAGTCTGGACCCCCGATTTCTCTTGAATTCCGTTTCTGATGCTATTCATGAGCACGGTCCATGCGAGTCCCAAAATACATCAGGGATATCCACAAAGAACTTCATTGACCTCCTTACCGTATACCTTCAGTCCACGCTTGTTGAGTACAACAGAAAGATTTTTAGACAGAAGAGAGGAGTCTGTATACGTTCATGCCTAGCCCCAGTGCTTAGCGAAGTCTTTCTTATGTACATAGACCGAGCCGTGAGGACCCAACTTGACGTTATAGCCCCATAAATCCAAATGTACCGATATGTAGATGACTATCTAGTTGTTCATCCGTCCTCCATCTCTTCACCGGCCATTTGTGACGCCTTCAACTCTTGCTCGTCGGGTCTCAAATTCACGAGTGAAGAACCAACAGATGAAGGTCTATAGTATCTGGATTAAAAAGTTCCTCTTCATCCTCAAGGCCTATGCTGGAGCTTCCAGCAGCGATCCAAAAAACCCGTTCTTCCGTTTTGCAGTAACCATTGCAAGTCGGTAAAGCTTGGAATCATTCGAACCCTATTTGCCTCTTCTCGCTCGAAATCCTGTTCAAACCTCTCATCAGAAAGTCTCCTGCGACAGCATGACCACCTGCTCCAAGCAGGTTATCCAGCTGACCTCCTCCGTACAACCCTTCAGCGTCTCATCACGGGCCCCATCCGTCCTCCAATGAAACAAAAATGGTCATTCACGACCAGTATGCATTCCATACGCGCACAACTCCGCCCACCGACTGAAGACTCTTGCTGCTCGGTTTGACACGAAGGTGGTCTTCACTTGCAGAATGAGGTTAAAGCAAATGTGCCAGAGGGTGAACAACGAGAGTCGACCACCCGAATGCGCCATCAAGCACTCCAACAAGTATGTCAAATGTAAAGAAAAGCCAATCTATTCAATTCCATTGAGCTGCGGAGGTCAATACATCGGCCAAACTGGAAGATGCCTAAATGTACGCCTCAGGGAGCACCATTTAGAAGTCACCAAGGCATCGTCGGACTCATTTCACCCCATAGCCGTGCATGCCCGTACCTGCCACGAATGCACCCCCAACTTTGAAAACACTACTGTACTTGAAACACACAGAGATAAGTGTGGGCGAGAAATCATTGAGGCGTTTAAGATCAAATACGCCGCGAACAATGTTTCTGAGCCTTCTCTGGTGTTATCGTCAAAAGAGTTGGAGTTCCTCGCGCCAGAGTTATCGAAAAGCCAGTTTTGATCAATCATTTACCTTTCTTTCCCTCTTCATTTTCCTCGTTTTCAGGGGCCTAATTTCCCTTCTATTCTTCTTCCTTTTCCCCATTTATTCGGGGGTTAATTTCCCTTTTGTTCTTTCTTTTCTCCTTTATCGAGGGGTTAATTTACATTAATGTCCTATCGTTTTAATTTGGTCTTTAAATAAAATTTGGAGCAATTTAGTTTTAATTTATTTTAATTTATTTTAGTTCCTTTGAATTAATTTATTTTATTTTAAATTTCAGCATATACGTTTAATTTTTGCTCTTTTTGTTTCAATTTTTTTCAATTCTTTGAAGTTCACGGTCGTAGTGTCATGGGCATTTCATAAATGTTCGTGGCTCATTGAAAGAACTGTGTGCGTCTGTGTTCGTCCTTCATGTGTTTTATTCTTTCTGTGTATTCGGTTTTTTAGATAGTTTCACTAAAGGGGATCCTTGCATCTTTCCGTCATTTAATTGAAAATTCGGAGTGTTTTTTTTTTTTTTGTGACAAGTTCCGAAGGGTGGTTAATTAATGAATAGAAATAAAACACTACAACGACGTTTTTCTCTTTTCGACAAATATAAGTAGCATTTTCCTTCGACGCAGGGCGTCCCACCTCAGTATAGCCGAGGCGGTGGGGGAACACCGAGACACTTTGTTTGTTTTTTTCGTTTCTCCCAGCCGCTTCTTAAGTCGATTCTTACGGCATGTGAGCTACAGGAAAAAAGACGTTACGAGGCGGTATTATAACGTCCTTTTAGTAAAATGAGATTATCGTAGTTTTATATCTTTTTTACACACTCGGTGTTTTGTCTTTCAAGATTTAGGCAGCTAACCTTCACGCCTGAGTAATAAAGATACAGAGACTCACTTGAATGGCGGAAGTGGGTCAAGAACGCCTTGAATGACCTCACAATTCCAAATCAACTTCGCATTCGAAAAGTTTTTTACAAGCATTCCATAGTCCTCGGAGATTCTCAGTTCAGTCCGTGACGCTAAAAAGTAAAATCATTTGCTACAATACATTATTTCGAACTTCTGGCAAAAAAAAACAAAACAACAACATATACTTAGGGTGACCGGGACAGTGCCGTTTTAAAGGTTAATTTCTGCCTTCCCGTCTTTTTTGGTTTAACAAGGCGTTATTTCCTGCTTTCGTGGGAACACGGATAGTAGTTGCGAAATCAATAATGAAATGAAACCGAAAGACTATTTACTCGCTAGAAACGCAATGAAACAAAAAAAAACAAAAAAAAACATTACGTATTTACTTCATTCTAAGCATCCCCTTTTTTTCACGCCCGCGAAGTTCAAAGACGGGGGGGGGGGGGGGGGGGGGGGGGCAGTGCTTAGATTCGGAACATGCCCCGAAAATACGAAATTTGTGCAAGAAATATGAATTTATTATAATCAAAATGAAAGAATAAATGTTCTAAAGGAAATAAATAAAGTAAAGACTGGAGAGTAGCCGGCTTGTCATCAGTTTGCACCACGGTCGACTAGTCGCTCTGGCGACAAGTCTTTTGGGGATGATGCAGGGCGCAAGTTTCCGAGCGTCGGCTGCGATGCACAGCACTACGGTCACCCTCTGCTTCTCATAGGCAGTCAGTCGTACGCACTTCTACTTCTCGGGCGCCAACTTCGTTTACGGCGCACGTCCCTGGCATGTCGATGTACACAGGAGTCTGAGCGGCATTGCCGATCTGCCCGAGTCCCTTGTGAGATTCAGGACGCAGCTTCATCACATAACATTGGAGGTTGACAAGCTTGTCTTCGAGGACCAGCAGTAGCTTCTGGCAGATAGTGGTGCGGCGTCCCAAAGAAAAACCGTTCTTATTCATCATCCGCTCCACACAGCCTCGGCTTGCGCGGAACGCCGCGCTCCAAGCTGTTCAGCGGCGCTGTGATTTCTCTTGTGTTCCACGTAAAAAATAACCGTTTTCTTGAACTTCGTCCTGTATGAAGTTTTCTTCGCACTCATGACGGACGACTTCCGCAAACCACGTGCACACAGTGAACGGAATACGATTGCGAGGCCAACGCGGTCGAATAGGCTTAACGGACTAAACAACCGACTTCAGCAAGCGCAAGGAGACCAAACAGAAAACAAAATAAAAAAAAAACATCTACGATAGAGGGTACGGCAGCGCACCAGAGCCGTATATGTAGAGAGTTTGGTCAATGGGAGGCGCGGGCAGAGCCAGGGCGTGCGGCCATAGAGATCATACATACTAGCTCTAGAGGAAAAGGTCCGCCATTTTCCCATGCATTCTGGATACCGCAAGCGGCGGAGCATGCAGGCAGACACTCGGGGTCCCACACATGGTTACCAACTGCCTTCGATTTCTCAAATATAATTATATCATCAGAGCAGTTTCATGAACTTCAACAATCCATGAACTTACCGGTGGGAAGATATTCGCGTTCCTTTCGAAGCTTTCTTTTCGCATAGCGCGCAGATGTACGGCCTCCCGTCAACACTATACTAAACCAGATAGCCGGCTTCGCGAGTGGCCGCGCCCTGGGAATACGAAACCGCGCAACCACCAAATTTCCGAGATTTCCACAGAAGGGAAGCTAATGCAGCGTAATGAGTATGCTGCTTTTTATAAGCGCTAGAATAGCTTATAATTTAGTTTACAACGTTAACTTACCACTTATTACATTGCTGAGAGTTTTCAGTTTTCGCGATTACCATTGCGATTGTCGTCCCTCAGCTGGCAACATTGGCTTCTTTCTCTTGTGTACTGTGCACGTCGTCTCAGACTCGGGAGTTCCTAGAGGTTAGACAGCGGGAGGCGGGACGGATGGCACTCGGGGCACACAGGGGGACTCCAAACGAAGGGGTGCAGGGGGACCTCGGATGGTCTGCTTTTGAGTCGAGGGAAGCGGTGGCTAAGCTGTCTTACGAGAGGCGTCTTTGCGGCCTCGGAGAGGAGCGATGGGCCAGGAGGGTGTTTAAGTACCTCGTGTACAGGAGTTTAAACACGCGCCTGACCAAACGGGTGGCCAGGCTCGCGGGGAAGTATGAGGTACCACCGACCCTGCTGGACGGCCGGCCGCTCCGAGAGGGAGTTGCGGACCTCAAGAAGCACGTGCGGCAGGTCGAGACGCGAAGGTGGACGGAGTCGGCCACACGAAAACCATCAATGACTGTGTATGCGGCCTCGAAGCGGGCGATCGAGCGGGAGCAGCTGTATGATGACTCCAGGGGCAGCGGCTTGCTTTTCGAGGCACGAACGGGGACCCTCAAGACCAGGCTGTGGAGATCGCGACATGACGCTGGGGCCCCAATCGCCTGCGTCGCCTGCGGAGCAGCAGAGGAGACAACCGAACATCTGGTGCTGCAGTGCAAGGCCCTCAGCCCGTGCCCCCAGGTGGACCATCTGCCGGACGCGCTGGGCTTCCGGACGGCGGAGCGGGGGGATGACGGCGAGGAACACGTCGAGACCACCAAGCGCCGACTAGAGCAGTGGTGGGAGATTTCCTGGCGGCTGTGGAAGAGGGAGAGGCGAGCTGGGCCGGACGTGCAAGCGCAAGCCGGACAACCGATGTTTTCCGCCCAAGTCGACCTGCCCCACACCGAGGACCCGACCGAAGCTGTACCACAACAAGAACTCGGCTAGACTTGGCTAGAAACCAGACTAAGCAAGCCTTTTTTTTTTTCTTTTTTTGGCAGGCCATCGCCGGAACTTCCGGCGAGCGGCCACCCGTTACAAAGGGACGCCACTAAATCCAAATCCAAATCCAAATGTACCAGCCAGCGTCTGCCAGTCCATTTGTTGCGGACGGCATTCACTACCAGGAGCACACCGGAAGGAGGGTGGGTCGGAGGATCGGATGCACAGTGAGGTATTCTTTAAATACACACAGGTCCCTAAGGGCGGAAGCCTAGAGGCCGGGGCTGGGGAGGGGGGGATGAAACAGAAAAAAATGTAGAGTTAGGAAACAGAGGGAATATAGAGCTAGAAGCACAGAGCATCCTTGGCTAAATGGCAACATAGCGGGAGAAGATGGACCGGTACCAGAGTCGGAAGAAGTTACTGGGTGTGAGTACCGCAGGAGCAGCAGGGAGAGCAGGAGGAAGCCCCGAAAAAATAAGAGAAAGAATCGGCTCAATATAGGGTTCATAAACATGCAGGGGGGTAGAAAGAGAATAAAGTGGGAGGAGATTGGTGAGCAATTAGAGGCTGAAAATTTCACAGTATATGGGGTAGCAGAAACGCACCTTAGAGATGAGGAGGAACCACCATATATATCAGGCTACTCCTGGATGGGATGCAACCGGAGGGAAGGTGAACGCAAAGGCGGGGGTCTAGGCATGTTAGTTAAAGGGCAGGACTGGAAAAGAAAGAGGGAAGGCTGCAGAGAACACTTATGGCTGAATGGTAGAGTAACAGGCCTCAACACTCTTCTGTGATTTGCCTACCTGAAAACAGGAAAAGACTCGAGGGAGGAAAATACAAAACACTTTACATGTATTTCAAGGGACATTAGAGAAATTGGCCTTAATCAGGAAATAATTATCATAGGAGTCATGAATGCCCATTTAGAAGAGTTTGGTGGATTCACAGATACAACCGGAAAGTTGCTAGAAGATTTCTGTGATGCCCTTGACCTAGTGTAAGTGAATGCTCAAGTAAAATGCGACGGCAAAATAACGTGGGAACGAAACAACTCGCACTCAACTATAGTCTACTGCCTCATGTCCCACAAACTGTATGCCAGGTTAGGAAGTATGGAAATAGATAAGGAAGGAACAAAAAGCTTAGGGAGTGACCGCAAACGAACTAAGATTAAATTTGGTGCATCCAAACCAGAACAGCAAGCCCAGGAACGAGCGGGTAAACCTAAACTGAGTGAAGATCAAATACAAAAAGTATCGAAAAGCATTGAGACCATAGTATCGAAACAACCAGAAAGGGAATGGGCATATCAGGATCTAATAGGAATCTTTAAAAGAGAATTAGAGAAGCATCGAATTAAACAAAGAGGACAGCAAAAACGAAAACACAAACCAAAAAGCTGGTGGGATAAGGAGGTCAAAGCAGCCATATTGCAGCGCCAAGAGGCATCTAGGGAGCATAGGTGGGCAAAGAAAAGGGGAGCCTTGCCAACTGCGGTAGAATCAAAATGGGAAAACTTCCAAGAGCGAAAAAGGGAGGCATCAGCTTTAATACAGACCAAAATTGGGAGTGCAGGAGTGCAGTGGATGATGGAAATAAATAAAAAAGATAGGAATGCAGCGAAAAGGCTTTGGGAACATATTAAAGCGCAAGGGAGAAAGACAGATAGTTTCCAACACGTAGTAACCACACAGGAAGGAAGAAGAGTGGAGGGGGAAGAGGCACGGGAATATATTAGGCAGACAATCGAAGGGGCTTTCTCCCAGCTTGAGCAGAGGGGAATAGTGGATAACTCTGACAGCAGCAGCATAGAGGAGGAGCAGAATTATGTAACAATGGAGACGACCGCAAGGGAATGGGATAAGGCAGAAAGTAAGGTTCCAGCAGGTACAGCGACAGGCCCAGATGACATAGCCATGGAACTCATTAGGACACTAGGAAAAACAAGCAAATTGAAGTTACGACATACAATAAATCAAATAATTATGGGAGGAGAGGTGCCTAGGGATTGGAAACTGAGTAAAATGAGACTAATATATAAAGGCCGAGGAAACAAAGACAACATTAAGTCGTATCGCCCAATAACGGTAACTTCAGTTCTATACAGAGTAGTTATGCAGATAGTAAAGCGGAGAATGGAGGAATGGGTAGAAGAAAATCAAATACTGGGTGAGCTCCAAAATGGATTCCGAAGAGATAGAAGACTGGAAGATAACTTATTCGTCACCACACAATGTATAGAAATAGCAATGAAGAACCGGACTCCTTTGTGGTTGGCTTATTTCGACATCAAGGTAGCGTACGATAATGTGAGCCAGGAAAAACTCTGGAGTCAGCTGAGGGAATATAACTTAGATGCATATTTGGGTGGGTTTCTTCAGCAGGTGTATACAGACAATAAGGTAATTATAGCATGGGAGGCAGAAACTACGCAACCCGCAGCGATAAAAAGAGGGCTCAGGTAGGGCTGTCCACTGTCACCTCTGCTTTTCATGATATATCTCAGGGAAATGGAAAAGAAATTAGACCAGAGCAACTTAGGTTTTGATGTGAGTTATATGGAAGGAGGGAGAAATGTAGTACAGGTAATACCAGGACTGATGTATGCCGATGACATAGTACTTATGGCAGATAACCAGGATACGTTACAGGAACTAGCTAGAATATGTGGAGAGGAAGGGGACACAATGGGCATGAGTTTTAGTAGAGAAAAGTCTGGAGTAATGGTGTTTAACGACAAAAAGAGGGAACCCCTGAGGATACAGGACATTGAAATAGACCAAGTAGGATAATACAAATATCTGGGAGTCTGGCTCAATGAGGGAGCGAAATATCTAGAGGAACATGAGGAGAATATAATTAGAAAAGGGAAAAGAAATTCATCAATTATGAAGCTCAAGGCGCTATGGAACTATAATCGATATGAAGTGGTCAAAGGTATATGGAAAGGAGTGATGGTGCCAGGGCTGTCTTTTGGCAATGCAGTGCTGTGCATGAAATCAGAGGTTCAATCACGATTAGAAATTCGACAAAGAAGCGTAGGCAGGCTGGCACTGGGAGCACATGGAAAAACACCATATGAGGGAGTACAGGGGGACATGGGATGGTCGTCTTTTGAGAGCAGGGAGGCAGTTAGTAAGTTGAAATTTGAACAAAGGTTGACCGAAATGGATGATACGCGGTGGGCACGGAAAGTATTCAAATATTTGTACATGAAAAATTTAAACACAAAATGGACAAACCGAACCCGAAAGCTTACATTTAAATACCTACACACTGGTGATGGGGCTGAACAGACTACTTCAGTGAAAAAAGGGGTGAAAGAGGCTGAGAGGAAAATGTGGGAAGAAAGAATGCAGGATAAATCAGCTCTAACAGTGTACAGGTCACGAAAGCAGGACATAAGAAAGGAAAATGTGTTTGACAACTCAATAGGAAGTTCTTTGCTGTTCGAGGCTTTGAGGACGAGGACGTATTGGGCTAAATTTCAGGAGATAGACACATTATGTGCTGCTTGCCATAATGAGAGAGAGACGCTTCAGCACTTGGTATTAAAGTGCACGGGGCTTCGTCCTGCACTCCCTGAAGGGGTAACAGATCTGGCCGGGGCCCTGGGGTTTGCTGGCGACGATGGAGGGACGGAGGAGAGGAGGATTGCAGTCACAAAGAGGCGATTAGAAGATTGGTGGAAATTATCTAGGAAAAATTGAATGATGCAGAACTAACTAGCACAGCTGGGGACAGGCGGGAGAGAGGAAAATTGGGACTACCTCCCGCGTGGCTCCTGCCCAAAGTCTCAACCCTGTCTCCCAGTGGGTCCGGTGCGGGGGTAACGCCGACAAGGTCTTACCAGAGGAAAATTGGCGACTCCCTCGCCGGGGGGAAGAGGCGGGGGGGGATGTTTTTAGTTTTTTTGCCCGATCCCCCAAAGGTCATCCTGGTGATATCCCACACTACCCGGTGATAGTTAGGGGGTAGAAAATTGGCTTAGAAGGGCGCGGGAAATCAAATCAAATGTTTGTCTTTCTTAGACTTAGGCTAGGTGGCGCAAGCTACCACCCGCTACAAAGGGTATAGCCAGTAACATCCATCCATCCATCCATCCATGTTCTGTCGCTCTCTTTCGCGATCTTTCACTCGGGACCCAGGATGTCAGCACGCGGGACTTTGCCACTCCTCCTCGCCCACCTTTACCCCCCTGCGTGCGGCAGACTCGGAAAGAGGGCTTGGCGGGCGCACTTGACCAACCTGAAGCCGAAAAGAATCCCCTAGCGGTGGTAGCGAGAAAGAGTTCTGATCAAAGTTCTATGTTCCTATATGGTTTTAATAAGTGCGTAGGAGACTAGGAGTGAAGTGTAGTAACTTTTCGTTGTTGTAAATAGGGTGCCCGTGGTGTTTTGATCATGATCACGCAGAAAGATGTAAGAAACGAATGCGCCGCACAACTCTGTTTTGCGTGGACAGAGTGTGACCGCTCGGACGGCAGATTCCTGGCCCTCGGCGCTTGGCGTACGGATTATGTTGATCGTTCCGATAGTCGCACTTTTCCACCGTTATTTTGGATGAGTGTAATTCAGACATCACGTGCACCATATTTTCAGCCATCGAGAGTTTCCAAAGCAGTTATCAGGTTTGTTTCTCGCGACCACCACCAGGGTGTTAATTCCGGCTTCTGGTAGGTCACGGATGAAGAAAGAATAAACAATTAAAACAGGGACAACACAACTACATCTTTCATTGTGAAAGATGTAGTTGTGTTGTCCCTGTTTTAATTGTTTATTCTTTCTTCATCCATGACTTAAACCAACACGCTCTTCTACTATACTTCGTTTCAGTTTCGGTCCGAGCGCGGCCGATGTTATGAGCCGAAGGGCCAATCAAACAGCGAAACAGGCACAACGTCATGGCGTGCTCTCTGCAGTTGATAGGACCCGCCGATATTCGCCGTGTCTCTGCGCGTGCTCCTCCGCCGGCTAGTCCTATCAGGCACAGAGAGCACG